ATAAATTTTTGAAAAATTATATAATAAATTTATAATTTAATCAAACCGAGAGTAGGAAATTCAAAACAAATTATGAGAATAACGGGAAAAAGATATTTATAATTATTAAAAATTTACTTTAATAAATAAATAATATTAACCAAGTTATTTATACACGAATTATAAACGCAAATGCAATATTTTATTATTTATTTATTTATTATTATTATTATTAATTTATATAATTTAAATTTGACCTTCACTATTTTCGTTGGAGAATTTTGTATTTAAATAAAATAATGAGCACATGAAAATTAATATATAAAATAAATAAAGGATTTTGGGAAATTCCCCATCACTAAAGTAGCTAAGGAAGAATTAAATCAAATAAAAGTACATATCAAGAACAATTTCAACTTACCACTTTAATTTCTTTATTTCGTTTCACACATTTATTTTCAAAATAAATAAATAAATAAATATAATAATTAAGAATTTATATATTCTCGTCAATTTCATACCATAATAACTTTTCAGGACTGGATTTTTAACGACTTAGAAGAGCTTATAGATAATTTGGGTCCGGGAGATTATCTCTTATTTCATAAATCTGCCTCTACTTTTATACCGTTAGATATAAAATTATCAAAGTCTAGCACGATCAGAAGGTCTCTATCTTAAAAAAAGATAGCTAAAAACTATTTATAAAATTAAAGAAAGGAAAAGTACGTGTTCATACTTAGCACTTTTTAGTTCTTTATATGGTTTCACACACATTTATTTACGAAAATAAATTTGGGAATATTAATGATTATGTCATGTTAATTATTATTCTATCCGGGCTTGATTTGAATGAACCGTTAGAACTAACCGTTATGAAGTGATATGCGAGATTATGATGTAAAGTTTGAGTTGTCAACTAACTTCTTACAGTGAACTGTCGAGATTTATAGGGTTAGTACGTGGAGATTATTAGAAGGTCGCCATTAACTTTTACTATTGAACTCTCCAGATTGATAAGACATGTATATGTCTCTCAGTAGTTGGTCGAGGCTCGAGGTCGCTCGCCAACTAATATCTAATATCGAGTTATGTAAACAAACATGGTCCATAGTAGTTGGTGGGTTAACCATATGCACCCAGTAACCGAAACTCTAATAAATTATATGATTAACTATGACGTTATAGAAATGATACTTGAACTTACATGGTTCGTGCAAAGGCTTGCGAGAGCATCGAGACTATAAAGCAAGAATAGAACCCAACGTGTTTGGTTATAATAATCATTATCTACGTTATGTCACTTTCTTTGAACGAGAACCATTTTGTGAACGGTTTATTGTGAAATCTTACGAAAGTATTTTTTTTAATATTTTATTTTATTTTATTATGAAGAATAGTTATAATTAGACATTTTGTTTATTTTATTTTTTATTTTGTCATGGGTTCACTTTTTTGGTTTTTTAAAGACATGTTTGTCGTCAAATCTTAGGCAGAACATGAATAAAATAATAACTAAAGAAATACAAAATTTTGTCGTGCTACAGACTTTAGTTTTATTTTAACATGTTTTCCTGCAGCAAATCTAATGATTTTTTTTAAAAAAAAAATTATAGAGGTGTATGTACAATTTTATAACTTAATTAATACGAGCTAACTGACTTAACCATGGTAAATTTTTTCAGTTTGGGTTGAGTTGAATTATTATAAAATTTAATATTCGGTTCGATTGGTGAGCTGACATTTTTTTTTAGAATAAACTCGAAAATAGGTTACAATACAATCCTACCATACTTTTAAAAATATTATGAAGATTTAAAATTTGTAACTTATTTCCTTGATATTTAGATTTTATAAAATTTTCGATTTATTCAAAAGATTTTTTCATTCAGCTAAATTTAACGTATCTTCACCCGTAAAATAACTGTATTAAACTTCGACGAAAGTAGACCCAAATAGCACATTGATTAAATCTCTATGTTGTGAAATGGTTCGGGTTAGGGAGCGTTTGAGCTTAATCCTACGAGTTTAAAGAGGGAAAAAAGCTTTATAAAAGTGGCTTTTACCATTATCGATCACCTTGGAGAAGAATTGTAGGTCACCTCTCTTCTTCTCCAAGAGAACATTGATTCTCAGCCCCACATTTGATTCTATGATTTACGAGCTCGATAGTCTGCTTTAACTCTTTGGTCGGGCGTTAAAAGGGTTCATTTGTCATTCATACCTTTTTCATTCACTCGAATGAATTCAAAATTATGAAATAAAACTTCAAATTTAACGACTTTATTTTAGATAAGATTTTTCCGTGAGGTCAAACTTTGAATCCACGTGGATGTCATGTGTTTAAAGTGGGGCCCACTTAAGAAGCTCCTTTGGCACCGCCAACCAATCATGAAAGGGCAACTTCTGCCTAATCCATTCTCGATTCGTTCATTTAATAACATATTTTACGATATATAAAATTAAAATTAAATAAACCCAAAATAATAATAATAATAATAATAACACGTTTATTTCATTTTGTTTTCAAGGATTAATATATAATTTAAAATTATGAAAAATATTTATAAATTTCTTAATCCAACTAGACATGTTAATTATTTTTATAATTTCACTTAAAATTTAAATATATTTATGAATAAACTCCACAATAATGGAGAAATGTTCAAAATAATTGTGCTTGTACATTTTTTTATTTTATAATCAATAAATAAATAAAGCCAAAATATACGAATATTAAATATAAAAAATTATAATAATATAGACCTGATATATATTCAACATAATTTATTGACAAGAAGCACAAAATTAATTGACCATTTATTTAAATATTACGTAATTTCCTTTCACATTAATCAATTAATTTTTAAATTTTAACGTGAATTATCCATCATTTTCTTATGGTAATTTTAAATTTAATTCCAATAATAAGTCTCTGTTAACGAAATTAAAGCCTTTGAATTTGTTTAACTTTTCAAAATAATTATGAACAACCAAATTTAAATAATAATAATCCCAATTTAGACTAATTATATTGAAACTAGACATAGAGCAACCCTTTTGATTAAAAAATTCTATTAAAATTAATTAATAAAAATAATATTTTCCATCACGTTTAAAACAAGTGTCTACCTTTAGAAAAAAAAAAAAAAATACATTTAATAAAGAATTATTACTTTATAGATTGCAAATAAAATATTAAATTGTCTGTTTCCTACTTTAAATTATTTATATATAATTTATAATCTATATTGATTTTATTTGCTTTCGGTTGCTTTTCTTTTGGCTTCTAGGCGTTCTGTCGGCTAATTATTTTTTAATAAGCATAATTAAACTATTATTAAATTTAATAAATATTTGTGGATTAAATTGAAAGTGAGTCTAAATATTTTAATTAAATGTTTATTTAAAAGAAAAATTAAATTGGATAATTTATTGGAGGACCAAATAGAAAAGTGCAGGGGTGGATTCGCACGTGCGGGGGCAGAATAATTAAATGGAGAAACTTAGTCGGTGGTGTGCCGATCTTGCACACGTGCGAGAATATAAATCAATAAAAAAAGAAGTCATAATTTTAAGAATACACGTCATAATTAAATTAAGATTTTAATATGACACACCGTTCTAATCCTCGATCAAATTGTTTATTATTTTATTTATTTGAATCGAATTATTTAATTTAACAAATAATCAAAGTTGAATTTTCTAACTCTAAAATTTTATGTTAATTAGTGTTTAAAAATTAAAATTTTAAAATTAAAAATAATTTAATTTATTACTTGTACGGGGAAGCAATAATTATGGTTAACAATTTGAATTTTGCTCACTTTAATATTAGGGTAAGTATTTGTCGTATAGTGTTTGGATATTTTGGATTTTAGTTACAATATATATTTTTGGGGCAAAGTTTGCATATAATTAATATTCTATTTAAAAAATTAAAAGCTTATGCATGAATCTAAATCTTTTAAAATCCATTTTTTTTTCTAATTCACATCCAACTTAAAAGGGTATAATGGTAATTTCATCCCCTCTTCCCAAAATATATAATTCAAGTAGATAGGGTTTGATCTTGATAATGACAAGAGAATAAAATTTTAAAATCGAAAGATTCTTATAATATTTGATTTTGTTCATTGAAAATTTTCGATATCTAATCTCGTATTTATATATATATATATACTCTTACATAAAATAGTTATTTTTTTTTTCTTTTTGAATAATAATTATATATTTTTAATAAATTTTATTAAGAAGGTTCGAATCATTTCCCGTTTCTCCTCAGCCAAACAAACAACTCAATTAGGGTTGGATAGGCAATTCTGGTCCTGCTCTCTATAAAAATAAATGATAATTAAAGTAGGAGTTGAAGGGAGGGACGAGGAGACTTTTCCATCCTCTCCTTGTTTTAATTGTTACCGAACGAGACTTTAATAAAATTATAACATTTCACATTCAAAATTTCTATACAGTTAGGTGATATAAAAATACATATTTGAGAATTTTATATATTTATAGTTTATCTGCTTGTTAAAATTTTGATCAAGAAAAATGAAGATGCCTCGGACAAAATAAAATAAAATGTATATAGCTTGAGGTTGACTTCATTCAGAGTATTTGGCCTTTTAATCCAAATAGTTTAATGTAACTTTATTCGCCGCAATTTAAATACATTCACATATTAACTGTCACGATTCTGTAATTAGATAAAACAGTAAATAAATTAGATAATATTCCTTAATCAATAAAAGTGGCTGGAATAGCTCAGTTGGTTAGAGCGTGTGGCTGTTAACCACAAGGTCGGAGGTTCAAGCCCTCCTTCTAGCGTGTTTTCATTATTGTTCTTTTTCTCCTTTCCAATTTCCAATTTTTAGCGTTTTCTTTAATTCGTATTATTATCCTACTAATTAGTTAGTAACTGCGATTAGAATCTAATTTCTTAATTAACATAAAATATATCTCTTTTTAATTTATTGTTTTTGAATATTTGTTTTAATATCACCAACGAAACCACGAAAATGGCGCCGCCCTGTAGAGCATTCCGCTTCCAATTCACCGGCAGAGATTTTTCTAGTCTAGGTCATGACTCCGACTGCCGCAAACCAAAGCAATGTTGAAGGCGAAGAAGAGTCTGAGGAAGGCGGTTGTGCCTCCTACTCTCGTCGGCATTACTTCTCCCGGAAACCTCCAGCCACTTGTCTCACCCTCCATTAACGCATCTCTCCTTCCTTACCGGCTATACATCAACCCTAAGCTTTTTTTTTTTTTTTCCATCTCTTTCAATGTCTCTCAAGCTTTCTGACTCTATAGGTTAGTCCGGATCGTTCTTCGTGCTGGCTCCTCATCGCTTCTGGTTCCCGCGTTTTTGAACTCCAGGTATGCTCGCTGCTGTCTGCTGAGTTTCTCTTGCGCGTATTGGTGCTGTGAAATGCGAAGTAATGGGAATGTGTTGCTCTGGTATCTAGTTTTATTTGTTTGTAATGTAGTTGGAATGTGTAGACGTGCTGGATTTTGTTTCTGTTTTATTTTTTTTCCTTTTGTTTTGTGTAAAATATTGAATGCAGTATATTCCACTTTATTTTCTGTAGATTTCCATGGAACTATAGAATCATCAGTCATCGAGGGAAATAATAGCTTACTGATCCTTGAACAGACGAAGGTATCATAATATATGGTAGTTTTGGTCATGTTGCAACACTATTTGCTTAAGGTTCTGTATTTGATATTCATAATAGAAAGTGTAGGACATGATAGGTTGGAACCCAGGGATTCATGATCCTACTTATCATGATAGAAATTCATTTTGGGCTGAGAAAAAGGGTACCTACCTCCTCAAGTAGCCTATATACAATCCCCTACTGAAAAATGAGGATTGGGGATTTTTATATACAGAAGAGGAACATCCCTCTTTTGGCCAAATGGATTTGACGTTTTTACCAAGAAAAGGATGTTAAGAATCACGACTCTTCACAATGGTATGATATTGTCCACTTTGAGCATAAGCTCTCATGGCTTTGCTTTGGGCTTCCTACCTCATACCAATGGAGATAGTATTCCTCACTTATAAACCCACGACCATTCCCTAAATTAGCTAATGTGGGACTCATTCCCAATAATCTTCAACAATCGTCTCCTCGAACAAAGTACCCTATAAGCCTCCCCTGAGGCTTATGGAGCTCTCGAATAGCCTCCCTTTAATTGAGACTCGACTTCTTTCTCTGGAGCCCTCGAACAAAGTACACCCTTTGTTCGACACTTCAGTCACTTTTGACTACACCTTCGAGGCTCACAATTCTTTGTTCGAGATTTGAGGATTCTATCGACATGGCTAAGTTTAGGGCATGGCTCTGATACCATGTTAGGAATCACGACTCTCCACAACGGTATGATATTGTCCACTCTGAGCATAAGCTCTCGTGACTTTGCTTTGGGCTTCCCCAAAATGCCTCGTACCAATAGGGATAGTATTCCTCACTTATAAATCCATGATCTTCCACTAAATTAATCAAGGTGGGACTCACTCCAAACCAAATAATCTTAGTACTAGCAACTATTCTCTCAAGCCAGACAGAGTTTTTGTACAAACTTCCAAGGAGCCATGGAAGTCTATTCTAAATTTGTTGAATCTGGTTTACAATCATATTGTAGTTAAGAATAGGGAGAGGAGACAAAACTCTATTTTGGAACGATGCTTGGTTGGGAGCACAAAATTTTCAATCTTAGTATCCCTCTCTTTACTATCTTTCCCTTAGGGCCTTACTTTTAAGCTTCTTCATTTTGTCATTAATTGAATTCTTGAACATCTGTTCTATCTTCCTCTGCTAAAAAGATTTAGATTTTTTCTTTCTGTTTTTATAATGTCTGTTTCAGACTCTATTGATATGATAATCGGTTCATATGATAATGATCGTACTTCAGTGAACCGGCATAACAATGATATCTATACTGCATAGTTGATGGCTGATGTTCAACACAACACATTCTTGTTGATTTTAAATTTGTTTTGATACATTCTTTACACATTTGTGTAATTTCCTTATTTGTATTGCTACCAATGCCCATTGTTCTTATTTGCAGATTATGGGACTGACCTTCTCATCCATCCACTCTGTTTACATTTATGTCCAGGGAGTTGACTATGAGGTAAGCTTCTCAATTAATTTGGATCTTTCTGTCAACTACAAGGGGACACGGAGTCTCTCTTTTTTGAGAAGGGAAACAATCGTATTGAATAATGAAATAAAATGGAGTAGAGACTCCCAACACCTAAAGGTGGGTTACAAAACAAGAAGTCATATGTTACGAGAGTTTAAATACCTTAAAAACCTCTTAAAAATCTCTCCCGGTAGATTCGTTTTAAAAATTTGAGATTTGCTAGTGGTAGACTTGCGCTGTTCACGTCATATTGTTGAGTTTTGAGCAAGTGTTCCTTCATTAACTTTCACGCCTTGTCCCGCTCCTTTAATTGTCGATCCACCTCAAAAACCTATCCATCCACCTGATATGGTAAAATAGTAGGTGGTGACTGCCCATATACAACTTCAAATGATGTGGCTTTTAACTCGTATGAAATGAGATTTTGTAACTAAACTCCACGTTTATCCCACCCCTGACTGATTTGGATCGACTGAAATTGTATGTGTTGCTCCAGCCCCATACGTAGTGGTCTTAATGGTCGATGTTGGGCTTATGGTTCCATACTTTGGACTAAAGTTCCCTTCTTGGTGGATCGATTTATCTTCAATCTTATGAGCCATCTCTATCTACCTCGTGAACCCAATAGGTAAATTTACCCCTAATTCCACTTTAATATCGTCACTCAACCCATCAATGAATTTCCCTTCTAGGGTGTCGTCATCTAATGCTTTCAATGGGGTCAAATATTCTTCAAAATTTTCGATATTCTTGCTCACTGCTGTTTCCTGTCACAAGGAAAAAAAATCTCCTGTCCCATGCTCTGATTGACGGTCGATGGAGGGCCAAGCATCTGATTGACCGTCGATGCTCTACCCACAGATGCCAATCAAATGCTTGGCCCTCCAAGCACAACACCGTGGCCTCTAATTTTTCGATTCTGACAAACGATTGACCACATAGAATTTCTCCACCTGATGCAATCTTCCCTAAGGATTCCTTCCACGAAAGCCAATATCTCCAAGTTGAGATAGAACTATTTTACGTAAAACCATGTGTGAAACTATTGTATATGAAAGTGATGCATATCTGGAAGAAAAGAAAAGAAATGAAAATCAAAGACTAAGTTTAGGTCTCATTTAATCATGTTAGTATAAGTCATGTTGCATGGCCTTTAATTCAGACTATTAACAGTGAGGTTACTTGATATTTTTAACCTTCTACATTTTTTCAATTTTTTTCTTCAGGCAAAGGCAAGAACATACAAAAAGAAAACTTGTGAGTGGAGTAGTCTCCATGTTTTATTATTTTTGAAAAAAATATTTCTCCTGCAACAATGATCCTAATTTGTCTAAGTTCAAAATGCCGAGTTATTACAGGTGTTCTAGGCAGATGGTGTGATTCAGTTAGCATCTTCTTGGCATATGTTGCTAACGTCAACGACGACACATCAAATGGTTTCATCAATGGCCTTTCCCGACTACTTCCCTCTGCTGTCTTCTCTTAACGGTACTCTTCCTACTGATATCAATAATGTTAAGTTAGTTATAAAGCAGCTAGTTAGGTTTTAGTCAAACAATCCTTTTATTTATTACTCATCAATTATGCATGTGTCTACTAGTACTGATCCAGCAGTTTGCTTTATACATTGTTTGGTGATTCTAGTACCCTTGCACATGAGGTAACCTCTTACTCTACGTATTATTTAAGGAACTCAATAGTAGTTACACTGATGAGGTTGTACTTTGCTCTCACCCACCCCTTTTTGAATAATAGTAAACACCGATGAGGTTGTACTTTGTTCTCGCCCACCCCACCAATGAGGTTGTACTTTGTTCTCATCCACCCCTTTTTGAGTAATAGTAATTGTTAGGAATCACGAACCCTCCACAATGATATGATATTGTCCACTTTGCGCGTAAAACTCTCATGTTTTTTCTTTTGGTTTTCTCAAAAGGCATGTATTCCTTACCTATGAACTCATGATCATCTCTTTAATTATCCGATGTGAGACTCCCTACCAACCATCCTCAACAATAATACTACTACGCGGTGTTCCCTGGCCATAGAAGATACAAAAAGAAAAAAGAAAAAAGAAAGCTTCTAATTGGGAAAAAGAAAAAGCAGCAACTTTGACCAATTTGAGCCAAAAATCTTTACCAGACTTATCTCCACTGTTCCTTCTCGGTCTTCTTTCAATACTCTTCCAATTGGAGACACTATCTCTAGTTTGACTCCCTTTCTCATAGACTTAATTTTTGTTATGATCTTTTATTCTTTCAGTTCAGTTCTTCGTAAGAAAGTCTTCCAATATACAACTACTAGGTAGGGATTTAGACTCTCACTATCATGGTCAGTTTGGTTTATTTCAATTTCATTGGTTGGGGTGAAGCAAATCTGAATGAAATGGAATCTTCAAATCAATCAAACAGTCTTAGCAACAAGGAAGCGCTTGATTGGACTGGGTCATTTGCGATAGCCTTTTGGCAAATGAAATCAGTAACTTAGTAGGAATAGGACAGACTTGAAAGCCATGGGCCTGTGGTCCTCAACCCTTCATTTTGAGGCTTTCTAAACTTTGGTTATGAACATTTCAAAGTCAAAAAGGGTAAAAAAAAAGCTGGATTTGGGGCTTTTGCTTCCGTTCTCCAGATGGGTAGCTTGGCTGGGGTTTTAATCCCCTTCTTTCATCACAGCAACCTGGAAAACCTAACAAATTGTAGGCCCCTCCTCTGGTATCTTCCATCCTATCAAACAGCTCACCAACTACCATCTTTTTACATTATCTAGTTTGCCCCCATCTTAGCTGTTCCTCCATCACATATCTTCCCGTCACATCTTTTCTCTCCGCCCTTTTTTATCACATCTTTCTAAATTCTTTGAACGCTTCATTTTTGTTTCTGAATTTTGATTTTTATCGTGTGACAAGCCTATTGCTAACAGATATTGTCTTCTTTAGACCTTTCCTTCCAGACTTTCCCTCAAGATTTTTAAAACGTGTATGTTAGGAAGAGGTTTACACACCCTTATAAAGATTGCTTTATTCTCCTCCTCAACTGATGTGAGACCTCACAATCCACCCCCTTCGGGGCCCAACGTCTTCACTGGCACTCGTTCCCTTCTCATCTCATAATCCACCTCCTTTCGAGATCTAGGATCCTCGCTGGCACTTGTTCCCTTCTCCAATCGATGTGGGAGCTCCAATATGGTAAGATGAGAAGGGGACGAATGCAAACGAAGATGCTGGACCCAGAGGGGATGGATTGTGAGATCTCACATTGGTTGGGGAGGAGAACAAAACATTCTTCATAAGCGTGAACCTCCTGCTAACCGTTTTAAAAGCCTTGAGAGAAAACCAGAAAGAGAAAAACCTAAAAGGGACAATAACTGCCAATAGTGGTGGGCTTGGGCTGTTACATCGAACCTGTGTGAGGTTTGAAATTTTCTTGAATGATTATTTGTAACAACCTTAAAAAAAAAAAAAAAAAAAAAA